CCCCCCCCCCCCCGAGCCTATCGCGAAAGCTAACAATCTAACAAACGATACTAACGATGTTCGTTCTAGATGCCACGCCCCTTGCGTCCGGTCTTAATCTTGATGCGAATTTATCATTTATCCGATCTTTCGCGGCGTATAGATTACATACTAAATAAGATGCCTGATTAATTCGTCGGATGACTTGTCTGATGTAGATGTGATCTCTTCTTCTAGTAAGAGAAAAAAAAAACAAACAAAGAAAACAGATAATTATGCGACCCGGCAAGTTTAATTTCATGCAGATGATGACAGAGGTATGAAGCTGTCGTGAGACTGTAAAAAATATTTTATTAATCCGAAATCATGACGGCCAGTCGGATCATTGGAATCTCTGATTTATACACTGCACTGAAATCGGAAGTAGTTTTCTCATCGAACGTAATCAATATAGGTTTACGACAACCTAACTTATCTCACACAATCTATACAGTATCAAAGTGTTTACTGTCAAATATCAGACCGCGGAAATGTGGCATGTGAGCGGTATATACCGTAAATCCTCGAATTAGCGCCCGGGGCGCTTATTTCAAATTTAGGAGAAAACGGGGGGCCCGCCTATTCGAGGGGAGGCGCTTATCGACGGGAAGAGGCGCTTATTTAATTTTTCCCAAATTGTGGCCTGAGATGATCATTTTTTTAATACATCATAAGCTGTTTATCGACGTAAAAAGCTGATCCTAAAGTTTAAATCGCGGCACCGCTAGTACTTGCAATTTTTTTTCCAAACTTAACGTGTTCACAAACTGAGACAATGCACAAATCTAATACTACACGACGAAACTATACTTCCTTTGTTGTCTCATTACTTGTCCACAAAATGGCGGGAGGGGAGGGGGCGCTATTTCGAGGATTTACCGTACCTAAATATCCGTTCCTGTAATACGAGCCGGATTGTAAACGCGGATTTCGCGTGCGCGAATCGCGTGACTGTGTGAAAACTTCATCTACTATAGCTTTGGTGTCGTTTCCTCCACTACGCTACTCTTTGTGGCTCGTGCTGTAACCGCCTCCACTTACCTTATGGTGATCCGCAGGAAGCGATGATACACTTCAGTTAGAAGTGAGCCATGACCCCAAGTGTTTGATCACGGAACTCAGAAGGCACTCTGTTCTAGTTTCCCTTTTGGCCGACAAGTTTACTCAACGCTCTATGGATCTCTATGAAATAAAACACTACTCCCTAATCGTTGCTAGCTATTTGAGCGTTAGATTATCGAATTACTGTCCGTCAAATAGTACATCTGAGAGCTTTTGGCTTTCCAAAAATATAACATCACGATGGAAAAACGTTTTTCGAAGGCTATGCGCTGGCTACGTAGAGACGGAACAATAATTCCAAAAAACTGCAGTTGTTAGCTTGCAGCTGATGAATCTTATTTACGCTTTGAAGATAAAATGCTGTCCACATGACAATCACGCGACTCTGGTAAACGTACTAGCTTGTCGAGTGTCCATTTTAATAATCTCACTGCAATTTTTCTCTATGTTTATATAATTAACGACTTCCACTGGCTTCCTCTCCGGATTGGACTGACATGGAGGGGATCACATCCACGCAACCTGCAGGCCCGCGATTAAGGTCAAACCACGATGGACAAATCATGTCAGGTGAATGACATTATGAAAACACGGGTCTAGACATTGCAATGAAATTCGGTCGGCGCAGCTCTCACTATTGAATCCAAGCAATCTCTTCCAGGAACCAATATATTTTTAGCCTCAAAAATTGGCAGTTTCCTTTCCTGTGTATGATAAGCTCATTACGTTAAGATAAGGCAGATCCCCATTGAGCACGAAAGACCCGCTCACCTCATGGTTTAAGGGCGGGCGGAATCACCGACAGGAAAAGATCATTGATATCGTTAAGAAAGTGGCTGGAAACGGACATATTCTGTTACCGAACAAGGGATTAATTAGATTTATTTTTGTACGCCGAAGAGATATGTTACTGTTGTGTCCTCTGACCACTGACCGCAGAAGTTGAACATCTAACATGACAGACTTTATAATTTCGTGGTTAGCCAATCTAGTTCGATACAAGATTGCTATCTGACGTTTTACAGCGCTTATGCCGAGTTTTCCTCTTCAAAAGAAGTACTTCATGGCATGTACATTGCACTTAAAAACAAAGTTTCCTTTTCAGCAAAACTTCACTGCAGGCAAGCAACTGCTTCTCTTGCAGGACTCGTCACGCCTTTATCGGTGTCGCCTGGCTGCAGGCGTGACTTAAGTGGCAGGGCAGAACGGAGCGAAACGCCATTCCACGGTATAGATTACATACTGCCGTAACTCATTGACTGCTATGAAAGCGATATCCTAAAGTCTAGCTGGCGAACGGTTCGCTAGACTTAATAGAAGATCTCTAATTCAGAATTTTTCAGCGTTTACTTTATCGAAGACGTTTATCTGATATCGTCATTTAGTGCTAATTTGTCTAATTTTCTTACTAGAAAGCCTTTTTAATGCTCTAAATGTTTTCGACGGGCTTTATTTTGTTCAAGTATGTGACTGAGGATTAAATATAATCGACCCATAATTCGGTTAGCGAACGCTGAAAGCAAAACTCTCGATAATTTCAAACTCGAAGGCGTGCCAATTATTCAACTTCCGGGCCAAATGGGCACGGCAGTAAACCAATATAATGTGGATATAATGTGGTGAAAAATGGGAAAGAAAGAAACGAAAATAAGTAAAAGAACGCGCAGAAAAATAAATATTGTTGTTATTGCTGATTGCTAACGAGATATGTCTGTTTTACAATGTACTTGGCGTAATTCCGTTGACCCGAGTCGGCTGGGACCTATATCTCTCAAACCGTTATTGATCATGCATGCATCCATTTGGCTTAAAGTAAAAAAACACGCGTTGAATATCTGATCAATTTAGCCTTTGCGCATTTGTGAGTGTCGCGATCTATCGGGAGGAAAACTTTTTGCCAAAAAAAAATGAATCAGTGTCGAAACTGAACGCGGAGTTCCTTGTCGACAGTTTCAGATCAGAAAGTTCCTTTGATGATTCCTCTCAATTTATTTTTTCCTTAGCATTTCATTGATGATATTACTTTTCGACAATTTTAATTTAAAATCCTGTTCCACCTCGGCTTTTATTTATCCTGTTCAGATTTCTACAATTTAAGTTTTGCTATTGCGGCGTTTTCGCACATTTTTGACAGCTGGGTAACTTTTGTGTTATTTTTTGTTGCTAGCAAAACATTGCTAAAATAAACAGAGTATAGAAAGGGTGCGAACAGCCGGTTCCAAAAAGCTACCAACCCTCTTTATTTTTGCATGTAGAAGCACTTAAATATAGCATTTTGAGCTTTCGTAACTGAGTTTTGAATGTTCTAGAATTTTTTTTTTTCTCGTCTGTGATTGTGTAATGGGCTGAGTAGGAAATCCGTCAGATTTGATCAAGTCTCTTTCGGGTAGCCGCGAGTGCCGTCATAAGCATCAACCAATTAGAATGCGAGTTGTCGGTCATCTGATCGCAAAGTCAACACTCCAGAGTTTCCTTTCGAACAAGAAAAACATGGCGGTGAAATTGATGAGTCGTTTGTTTTTTAAGTAGAATTTTTAACGTTGTAGCCCTGGATAAAGCACATAATGGGTTGATTTATACGATGCAGTATATGGTTTGGCTAACTAGACCAGAATGGATAAACATGACCGCTTTCTCGGTGAGTTTTTCGTCTGTAAACTTGGGGCCTGTTTACAGTGACTGCGTGTGTTGTATCGCTTCTTCATCCGTGATTTCCATATTTCGTATTTGTCTTCATAATCTTCAAGGCTTGGGCTTGTTTATGTTACTATATTGAAAACATCTAATACTCAAGCGATCTTTTAATCTACATTGTTTTATGGACGTTTTTTGAACGCCATCCCTCATGTGTAAACTGTATTCTCACCATCAAGTCACTCTCTCAACAGCTATCAACCAAACGCTCCCTGGCTTGGAAGATTTTCTCAAAGTGGTCCTTGGTAGCGAGTCATTGAGTGAGGAAGCGAACAGACAACGAATTGAATTTCTCAGAAGGTTAGAAAGTGTATCGCGACCGCCATCGCTGCCGCCTAGACCTGCAAACTTGAGTGAAATTTATCGCACGCGTCTCCAGCAAAACGAAGCTCCGTCCGGAAGCGGCCTACAAGATGAAAGCAGTGTGTATAAAAACGACAAAGCAATAGACCCAGTTCAGTTTGCCTCACAGCAACGTGAATTATCCAGAATCGCTACCCTGTGCAAGACTTATGCTCCGCAAACTGTTATTATCGGCGAGAAGGGAAATAGAAATGGAGGCTTGTATTTTGCAAGGCCGGGAAACACAAGGGTAAGTGATGAGGCTTCCGTGAAGCGACTCTTATGACTTTCTTGAAGTTTCTTGATGTATACTTCAAGGCATAGCCTTTTAAGTTGTCTTAATTTGTACTTATCCCTTGTACGTGACTGTATTTATTATTCAAAGTAATATACTTGCCCTCCCTGCCGCGAAATACAGTACCGAGGCATGAATAATTTCGTAAACGTGAACTCGCATATTAGCGAAACCAGTTGATCTCCTCTGATCTGATACCGCATTGTGAATGAAAAAAATTGTGCAGGCTGTGAATATTGCCCTTTTACCCGTAAGCTAATTTTCGATTAACTTAACGCAGTGTAGTGAATCACGTCAGGGATATGTATAAATTTGTGAAAATGTGTACGTAGCTAATACAGTTATCGCGTGGAAATAATCGATCAGTAATACTTCATTGCTGATAAACGACTGAAATCTACAAGGTAGCTTTCTTCATTGAATTTAAAATCGTTCTCTTTGTGGAGTTAAAACAGCATTTATACAATTGGTTGTTTTTAAATAGAATATAGTCATGGTTTCGTTTCAAAAGACACAAAAGATCTTTTGTTCCGTTTATGCTAAATTACCGCAGATCAACACCTTGCAATTTCCAGCGGTTTTATGGAGAGGAGAGGTTTTGTTTCAGACGGATGTTACAGTCACCCCCCAAAAATTCTGTGCTATATAATTTCAACTTTTAACCTTTCTGAAATACTGTGTATATATATCAAGCTAATTTTAATTTTCAATTTATAGCAAAATAGCACTTTGATGCATTTGTAATATTAAATTTCCTTGCTTTACTTTATGGACTTTCTCTTTCCTCGAAGAACTAGTCAGTTACAAGAATAGTTATGGTAACTGAAAATTAATAAATCAGAATTGAAAGTGAAAGATATTTTCGACTGACTTGCTGAAGCATAAAATGAGTTTTGTCAGTTTCACATGATCTTAACTTCTATCTAGTTCCAAATACTAGAAAGCGATGATGTTTCAAGAAGAACGCGATGACATTTTTGTCTTCTGTAGTGTATGATTTCAAGCTCATATCTCAGATCAATGTGTAAATGTAATACTGGAATCTTCATGTTATTATCAAAGATTATCTGCAACGGCAACGTTAAGACGCTCGAAAATTCTTCAGATCTTGTTGCAAAGGAGTTCTTGAAAGTCTGTAGAAATATATTTTTTAATATAATTGTTTTTTCTGACTTAAATGTAAATTGTTTTCTAACCTTTGTACTAAACCTTCATTTTATCATGAAATTAACTATCACCACAGACATTTTATCTTTTTCTTTAAATTTATACAAAAGTTACGTGGGTTTATAAATACCAAAGTTTATAGGTAAAAAATAATCCTAAATGCTGACTTACATGTTGACATGTTATCTTGCTCAAGAGTGCAACATTAGAATCGTGTGAATTTTTTGAAATGTTTAACAAGCAAAAGATACTATGCAAATATAAACTATAGTGTAGATTGTCACATTGTCATTAGACCACATCATTGTGATAGACTTTTTAGGATCTCTGCTAAAAGCTTTGAACAATTAAATCTAAGAGCTCTGAATGTTCACGTCTACAGTTTTAACTTAGTTAATAGGTGTGAAGATCGGCCAGTCTTTTACACATGAAAGTCCATAATAAGCACCCAGATATTCTAATCACAAGATTTTTTTTTGTCTTTTCTTTTTAAAGCTTCACATGAAGAGTCGAGATCTCTTATTTTTAGAGAGTAATTAGTTCATATTACCAGGATAAATATGATGTCATGGCAAACAGTTTCAAGTTACCATTGCCGTAATACTGAGTTATCCTAAACTTCACAGTGGCTGGTAAAACATATTAATCTTTCAACTGGGAAAAGATTGTGGTAGATTTTCTGACATTTCTTCAAGCAGCAATGCTTACTTGTGGCGTAAAGCACTCTGTTTTTCTTTGTGTGCCTGTTGACCTTGCTTGACATAATTAGCATTTTTGACAAGCCTTCTTGAACTACAGCAATTAATACCACATTTGAATTTTTTCTCAACGATTGTCTATCACTTTAGTTGATTTTCCTATTGAATGAACCATCAATATTACTTTCTCCATGTAATTATAACCTACATGTACTGTATCTCTTTTCATCTAAGTGATCCTCAGATACCATGTCCTTGTAGTTTTTCTTGAATCTAAGCAGCTTAAATTTTTTGCACATCAGAGACCTTATCTTTGGGCCTAAAATGCTTTAGTTTTGGATTTTCATGTGAGACAGATTGGTGCAAAACAATCCACAAGAAACAAGTTAATCAGGATTAAGATTTTGACAGTCATAAAGCTGAAATTATATCTACTAAATCATCTAACCATAATACTTGAGTTATCCTTTGTCATCGTAGGAAAAATGAAGGTGATTCCCTTTTGAAATAATTTGGCAGGGTATTTTTTTTGAAATTATTAATTTCAAACTTTATGGATTGTTCTATGCTTGCATCCAGCAGATTACTGTATTTTGATGTCAAGTTCAGGTTTATATGTGTGTAAATTGTTTGAGTGTCCTATGTAAAGAACTGAACAAAATTAAATGACAATCCTGGACACTCTATTTTGTATTGTTCAGTTCCAGAAAATATCCATACTCCCCCCACAGAAGGGATTGGAATATCCTGGGGGGTAGGGGGTTCTGTAGACCAAAAAAGTTAAAGAAATGTATGAAGCTCAATCGAAATTTCCAGAGGGGTGGGGGGNGGGGACTTAAAAAAATTCCCTTCCGTGGGGGAGGTATGGATATTTTCTGGGACTACACATTATTGTGTTTTTATGTGCAGCCAATATGTTCCATACAACAGTGGTTTTGTAACAAATTGTTACTAGTTAGTTCCTGGAACTCACTCTGTGATATTCTCCAGTCCTAGTCCATAAATGATCGAGTGTAACCTACATGTAGCAGGATACACAAATTTAGTGAATATTCAGCAACCTACCAAAAAAATAAATGACAAGAGCGATTATTATTATTTTTTAAATTTTCTTGCACTCATTCTAACAAGGGAACTGAGCTGTTTGACAGCAACTAAGATTTGTTTTTAGTTGCTAATCAGTTTATAAACTTGTGATAAATTGGTAACAACTAGCCAGGCTTCTTTATAATTTGTAAACAGTAGCTGCTTTCAAAAGAAGATAGCCTTTTTAGTCTCAAATAGAGCAAGATCTAATGATGAACAGATACATTGTAATTTTCGTGTTATTCAAGAAGTACAGGAGGTGTCAAAAAGGAGGTGTCAAAAAAAAAAAATTAACTTTGAATTTTATTTTTTTGAAATGAATACTCGTCTGTTGGAAGCTTCTAAGAAACATGTGGTAGCATTTTTAAGTAAAGCAAAATGCTTTGCTGTTCTGTGATGATCTTGAAGCTTGAGGACTAGATGTGGTTGTTTTCTTGTGTACAAGTACAGGGCCGTGATCTAGAAGTGCCTGCGTGCCACAGGCGACTAACTTTTGCCTTTGGGCGACTCGAAAAACTTACTTGTTCATATAAGCTTAAGTGCTGCGTACCCAGAATTTCATGGTTGGGAACCACTGGTTTCCTTGTAATTTTTCTTATACCACAGCCTTGAAGCACGTTCACTTTGTGCCTGTGTGATCACTAGCTGATATGATTCAGCTATGTTTGACATTTCAGGATGGCATTCGAGACTCCATACAGAGTACAAGCAGTATGGAAGATGACCTCTATGAACATCTGAGTTTGAAAAGCATTTCACCCTCGGATCCTGTCAGCACACAGGACGCTGATGGAAGTACTAAAACAGAAGATTCATTTGTGTTTCCCAGCCCACCAAAGACTCCTCAGGAACATTCCTCCTCTATTTACATCCCCACTCGGTCAGGCAGTTTGAGGGCTTCTGGAGGCAAAGGCAGACTGTCTACAGGATGGTAAGTACTTAATATATAAACCACATAGGAGACAAAAAAAAATAGATTTATAAGCAGGCTGATACTGTTTCTCCTAGACAGATTTAAAACAATATTTTTGTGAATTTTTATAATTGCAATCTTCCTTGTTTCTTGCTTGAGGTAGTTATGGTTTAAGACGAAATCTGATAGGAAATCGAACAATTTCAACTTTTAGTGGACAAAAACCTTGTTCCAGAATAATTTTAGGTATTTTACAGTCCCTTTTACAATTTTGTGAAGCTGAAGATATAAATAGTTGCCTGAAATAAAACCAGAAACAATTTCCCATGGGGACTTGAGAAAATAAATTTTAAAGTTCAAATAAATTGTGCAGTCACAGGTAAAATTTTACCATCACTTTCATTTCACCTGTACTTTCAAGTGTTTCATACGAACTTCACAATTTGTTTTCAACACTTGGTGTTGTTAGAAATGATTTTTTTTGAGGTATTTAAAATAGTCGCACAGAAGTTTGCGAAACGATGAAAGTAATCGCAGTTCAAAGTTTTTGTCCGCTTGTTAGTCGAATTTCTGGTGGATTCCTTCTTAAATCTTATAGCTACCTTGCATGGCAAAATTGCAAACCTTAGCCTAGTACACAAACTGCAACCTGGATCTTGGCTCCAGATAGGCAAAGCCAAACTCAAATGACTCAATTTGGAGTTAAGCACCTAAATATTAGTCCACCCTGCTTCCAAAGCTAATGTAGTACTCTGAGCAAGCAACACTGCGATCAAATAAGTATTTATCCCTGATAAGTCGACTCTGCCGTGAGTATACTGTAACTTTTTAAACCCCTATGTTTCCTTTTAGGTTTAAGAGAGAGGCAAAATTGAATGAGGAAGTTTACGTGTCACACTTAAGGGAACCAGTAATCAAAGGATATCTCAAGGATATCAAGGCAAACAAAAGGCGTTGGTGTGTTTTACAAGGTAATCGCTTACATATCTTCAAGAACCAAGAAGATCCAGCAATCATGATTCTGTACTTGCCAGAGTGCAACATTGGTGTTGATGATAAGAAGAAGATCAGCTATAGTTTTAGACTGATTCCTGCTGACGGTCCAGGTGTGACGTTAGCCATAGAAGATGGCCAGGACCTTTCTCCATGGATGAGTGCAATTATGGCCGCAGCTGTACGACGAAGTAGTATTGACCGGCCTGTCAGTCCTCTAGAAGGGTTGTTTTCTTTGGAGCAGGCTAGAGCAGAGAGGATGCGTAGTTCTGAATTGGACGGTGGTATAGAAGAGGAACATGAAGAACTGGAAGAGGACATTTATGAACAACCTATTGACCATAGTGTGGTAAGTAAGGATTGTGTTTTTAAACATACATGTACAAGATTGAATGCTTATCACAATCAGGCACCTCTCTCAAGAGCAAGTCAATAATAATTTGTATTTTTAAGCAAAGAGTTTAAAGGTTACTGTAGGCCTTTAAGGGACAGTGTTTTTGCTAAAAACATATTTCTTTGCCAAATTTCTGATTACTATTTTACCAGCATTTTCCCCACCAAAAATATTTCAAAAACTTGAAACATGCATGAGTCATACACAAGAAGTCCACAATCTGCTAAGTGTTACACAATGTAAGTCAATTAGAAGAGACCTCAGAGATCTCAGACTTGGATTTCAAACTTCAAGTATATATGCTTTTATTTGCTTTCAAAGGCTGTGCAAATCCTCCAAAGCCTTAGGTAAATGATCAAATTTAAGAAATGTTAACCTGACTCAACACTGAATGAAAATGTCCTATTGTTAAGCAAGGGCTTATGTGGTTGATTTTGTATGCTTACTGTAGCAAATCACTAGTAATAATAAAAAATTGCGAGCTATTTAGATTCCACCTCAGGTGTGCAATCCAAGCCATTGACATCTTCTGTAAATTTAATTGCTTTAGCGTGATATATAGCGAAGGACACCTGCAAAGGTATAGGGTAACTTAAGAAGTTTGTAATGGAAAACTTAATTGCAAATTAAACTCTGAACTGTGTTGAAGTTTCTTAAAATCATCTTTAATCTCTGGTGCAGATATCACAATATGCTTAAACCGAACTGTAAATCAATGTAGAATATTTTTTTTGATGTTAATAGTCAAGAAGTTTGGAAAACCACTGTAGGGTTATAAAATTTTGAAGCAGACAGAGAAAGATATGTATTTGTTGTAGGCAGTGCTGAGCGTTCAGCTTCTGTAAGTTGCCTATGAAGCAACATCTCAGCCAGAAATGTACTTTATGGAACACCATAACCATAAAGGCACTTTAGTTGTTGCCATCCATGACTACTAGATAGCTTTCGCCTGAGCTCATGGAGAATCCTGCATTGGAAAAACAAATGGTGTGACCTGTTTGAAAACAAATTATGAAAAAGAATCACTTCTTGTAATGCTTACTCTACTCTTCCAGCTCTGACATTCTGTTAACTAATTAAAGTATGATTTTGTTTGTATCTTGATAGTGTGGAATGCCATCTGCTCACAGTACCCCTGTGACAACAGAATCCAAGGACGAGGAGGATGAAGGTTATGATGCACCTCTCCCTCCCCTCCCTATTGACGATGATGGTTCCTCTTCAGAAAGCAGCTCAGATGAGGATGAAAGCATGGAGAAAAAAGTGTCTGATGAAAAGGCTGCAGTAAAGAAGAAAATTTACGATGAAATTCCTCCTGATCTACTGGCAGAACTTACAGCTGGGCAACACAAAGGAGGCAGTGAAACAACCAAAAGCCAAGACTCTATTTGCGATGAAGGATCGACCAATGACCAATCGTTGGACTTCACTGACAGTCACAGTGAGCACAGTGGGAATATCAGCAACAGGCACAGCTATATTGAGCCTATAGCGAGTGATGATGCTGTTAGCTCTGAACTTAAAGAGGAGGAGGAGAACATGGAAAATGTGTCAAGGAAGAGAACTTCCACAGTTCTCAGCATTAGCACGGAGTCAGTATGTTCTGATACAGAACACGCAAGAACTAGTTCAGTTACTTCTGACACAAGTGTAACTTCCAAAGGTTTAGGTCCCAAAGTGAAGAGAAGAAAGAAACTTGTTCCTGCCGAAGCTGAGCTTCAGTTTCTGCAAGATCCCTGTGCAATGCACAGTGGAATCTTGTATCAGAAGCGCAGGTTGGGTGTCTGGTCAAAACGCTACTGCAAGATTATCGACAGCAGATTTAAGTGTTATCGGTAAGTGGCAATTGTAACATCAATTGGATGTAATGGAAACCTGTAGTTAAGTGGTCAAGAACACCTGAAATGAAGACACGTGGTGAAAGCAAAAATTTGGACATTACCCAAACAATGAGTCAACTTGGCATCCTCTTGTGATTGAGTAATTTGTCAATAGTTTGAAGTCTGCAAGAAACTTGATTGTTGCTGTAAATGTTTTTGTCTGCAGAGCAATCATGGTTATGTTTTTGTTTTTGTTTTTTATTTTAGAGAAAGTAGTCCTGAAATTTAATTGGTACCGGTAACATCATAAATTACCACCATCATCAATGACACTTTTCATCAAGTACACATTGGCTCAAACTTTTAATTACATTGTACTATGTGTGAGATAAAAAAAATGAAACTGTCTTTCAAGGGTTCTGATTGGCAATGGACAAGAATACAGGTCGCAACAGATATTTTGAGTTGGAGTACTGGTTCAGTAATTTGTTAAGTTTATGCACTCTTGTCTTCTCAGAAATCCAGCTGACGAGAAACCAAGCCTGAACTTTCCAATTCTTGGTTATGATGTAAGTTTGATTGACAACAAAGAGTCAAGGAAGAGTTACTGCATCAAGATATCGCACCCTAGCCAGGAGACTTACTATTTCGCCACAGATTCACGTGTCTCGATTGAACGTTGGATTGAGGTGCTGTCTTTGGCTGCTACAGGGAGGCTTGACGTGATTGCCCCATATCCTCCTTACTTTTGTGCTGAGCAATCTGGAGATGAGTTAAAAAGTAGGTCAAGGGAATCATTGCTTAGTAGCGAGGTAAGACATGTCGTAACTAGGTTATGGATGTGCAATTCGTTACCTGTAGAGTTAAATGTACTGTGCATGTGTTACTGGAGGGTGTCCTGTCACAGTGTTACACATTTGTAGCAAGACAAAATAAATTCTTGTTTTGTTTATTTTAACTTTTTGCTTTTTTTTAATTAAGTAAACCTTTATTTAGTCACTGAAAAACAAGTAACATACAATAAAATTTACAAAAATTGAAATGTAATAACTTGCAAAAGTAAATTACAGCAGGTGAAAATAGCTAACTGAAAAGAACTATTACACATAATCTACGAATTACAGCAGTTACATGTATAAACACTCACAAGAATCTAACAAAAAAAAAATGCTCTAAAGAGTGACAAAGTCTCAAATCCTTTTTTTGTCTACCCCGAGCTTGTTGTTATGAGGACAGCAGGGCAAGGAGTTATATTTAGCAATATGACCAAAAGGCAAACTCAGTGACTCTATCCACTGTTAGTTGTTGAGCAGCAAACTACTGATTCAACTGTCAAAGCCAATAACAACTGAGACTGTGCAGTTTCACTGTTTAGACATAACCCAGTGGCTGGTCAATATTTACTTGGTTGAAACCTGAAATATTCGTACTGTAAAACTAATTAAAAATGAACTCAACCAATATTTCACCAACACACACACCTCACAGACACGCTAGTAACCAGCAACACTATACATATTCAAGAAATGGAAAACATATGTTGTGTTTCTATCAAAATTTGGAAGCTGAAGTGGGAGTTAATGATACCAAAAAGGATCTGTAAACTTGGGCTACATGCAATTCTAAAGAAACGCTGTGAGGAAGACCAGAACCATAGACGAGTGTTTCAACAGCTACTCTAAGTGCTCTTAAACGGCCATTAGTGATTGTATAATGCAGTAGAAACAAGAAATATTTAACAATTGCTCGCCAAAGGCTAAGTGAACATTGGTGAATATTCACTAAGACGAAGTCAAGGTGAATATTCGGCAATGTATAATTTTGAGAGGTGAACATCAAGAACTACAAAATAATGGGCTAAAACAAGAAAACACAGACGCAATTGTTCATTTGCATACATGTATGCAGCCATGGTTTTAATAATAAGCATACAGTTACATCGATTGTGAATCAATTTACACATCGATTTCAGGATCATTTCAGCTGTAGAACAAACAAGCGAAATGCCTTTTGTTATCGTTTTTGACTTCATTCACAGTTGTCATCATCATCTAAAAGTGAGTAGCTTTAGTTTGAAGAAAAATATGTCAGTTAATCGATCTGACCTGCTGGCGATCAATGTAACCACTGCGTTAATGATTCTTAAATGCCTTGAATATGAGTTCTTGAAAAGACTTTTGGTCCAAAGGTGACAACCATCATTTTGAAAATTCTCCATCCTGTCAGATATCCTGGACTTGGAGTGATGTCTTTCAAGTAAATGAAAATTTCATTTAGCAACTGTCCACCATGTTTACTTACCGAGATGGCAAAGGTGGCGAGCTTAGTACCCAAGCCTTGGAAATGTTATATTCACCACCTACCGTAGTAAATATAGCATCATAAGCTGAGCTTTTTGACCAATCAGTATGTCCAATTCTTATATTCACCTCTGGAAATTATGCTAATTATCGTCATTAATTTTGAGGGAACTGCTGAGAGGACATTGTCACATTTATCTTTGCTAGTGTAATAATATTATTGTTCTTTGTGTACAAGGTGTTTTCCAAATTGTTTAGCCTTAAAGGCAAATATAAGTAATTATGTTTTATTTTTTAATTTCTGTCGTCCAACAGGGAAGGCTTTCGGATGATGATAGTGCAGACACTCTGGATGAGTTGGACCCTCCAGCTGAGAAAGGTCAGAGTCTCAATAGACTTGAAGCAAAGGAAGAACAGAAAATATTACCTCCTGAGACGACATATGCAGTGCTGCCTAATGAATCTAGGTATGTACTATTTATTGGTAGTTCTTCCAGACAGTTATGTAACAGCACCGGTGTAGTGAAGTGGGAGCTGCGGTGGCCTCATGGTGGGTGTGTTTGACTCTGGATTGAGTGGCCAGGGTTCGAGCCCTGGCCCTGGACACTGTGTTGTGTTCTTGGGAAAGAGACTTTTCTCTCATAGTGCCTCTCTTTACCAGGGCTGTCAATAAGGGCTGTAACCTGTAGTACCTGTTACGGCTGAGTATGTTTGATGGGCCCTTGATGTTACAGGTGAACTTGCCTGTAGTTGACACAATTCACCCAAAAAGTAACATGTTTGTTACATGTGTGAAGATCAAGGCTACAGGTGAATCAAAACTTAATTACAGCTCAGGTGTATAAATCGGTACCGGTGAATTTAATGGGGGTAACCCTGCGATGGGCAACCATCCCATCCAGGTAAGGTAAAGTCTGCATACAAGCCAAGTGACCCATGAGGCCAGAGCCTATCCCGGTTTCAGTGGCATGAAGTGACCAGGAGTATTTCTACTCCCCCCTGGATGGGATGCTAGTCCATTGCAGGGCTACCTCCAGCATTAAATTCAGCGGTACCCATTTATACACCTGGGTGGACAGAGGCACTGTGAGAGTAGAATGTGTTGCCCAAGAACACAACCCAATGTCCCCGGCCAGGGCTCCAACCCGGACCACTCACTCCAGGGTTGAGCGCACTAACCATGAGGCCACTGCGCCTCATCCCATCCAGTGGGGAGTAGAAATACTCCTAGTCGCTTCATGCTACTGAATCTGGAGATGAGCGTTGGCCTGATGGGCCAGTTGGGTCGTATGCAAACTTTACTTTCCACTGCTAGTTCTTCCAGACGGTTAGTTATGTATATCAACATCAGTGTGATGAAGGGCAGTGGCCTAACAATTATCACGCTGCACTCAGAATCAAAGATTTAAATTCAGTTGCCATAAACAAGGAACAAAATAAAATTCTGTTGTGCCAGTGGTAGTTGAACCTATGACCTTGTTCTAAGTAAATTTGTAAGGGTCATGTTGATTCAGTAAGTTCACTGATTACATGTACTTGTGATTTTGTGCAAGAAGTTGCAAGATTTGATTTAAGTGCTGGCCGAATGTTGTTAAACTTGATGATTTTCTCATGTGCTTTCATGCACAGCTACTCAATATGTCAGGTGATAAGCGAAGGACTACACATGATCTATGCTTTAGAGACTACTCACAGATTAGAAGGTCTTCAGAATGGGCTTCTGAGTGGTGATTTCCCCTTTTGGATAACATTTACTATTTTTGTTGTTTTGGGCACCAGAATGGCTGCTACTAAAACTCTTCTTCCCTTTATTATGTTCATTATAAGTGGTGTTTCTTTTATGACAAGTGCAAAACAGAATAACAGTTCTTGGAATAATCATCCTTAATTAATTTTTTTTTCCAGAAATGTGGAAGTTTCAGTCCAAACCGAAGAGAAGTGTCAGGAAGGTGGAGCTGAACAGTCTCCAGAGACTGGAAAGAAAGAGAGAACACAAAAGAAAAGGAAAGAAAAACCAAGAGAAGGAACGAGTAAGAATAACATTATTATTTAATCTGTTGTTAAATTGGAAAGGCAGATTTGGCAGCATGGTCACAAAGTTAGAAATGGTGGTTGTTCATTATTTACCCCAAAATTCAGAATCTAATTTTGTCTCGGCCAAACGGAGATTTTCCGAAATAAACGGCACGTCTTGAAAGGTAGTTTAAAATTTCCAACCGAAAATATTCGAATGAAAAATGTGCTTGCCATTTGCAATTCTTCACTAGTTCCAGCCGCCATATTGGAATTATGATCAGGTCGAACTCATCCTAGGCTCTGTCGGTAATTGGGGGTTGTTAAGTAAATGATAAATGGCCAATCCGGACGGAACGTACCACCCGGGATTTTTGCTTACCATTTGCGTTGACGAATCGGTTTCTCCGCGTAAATGGTACGCAACCGTTATTTTCCCAGGAATTTGCACGACTTGGTCACGTGTATTTTCCTACACTTTGCATTTTTTTCCCCGTGGTTTGTGCTGGTCACATGTATTTCCTTGAGTTTTAATTGGTCCGTTGTGTTGCTTACAGTCTGTGATTAGCCATTGTAGTTGCTTTGGTTTGGCTAATTTCGACTAATTTAATTTTAATTGGATTGTTATTGTTATTTCAGAAACACCCTCTACCATGAGTCCTCCTCACAGCATGTTCATCAGTGAGTCTGTTGACGGGCAGGCCAAACCTGAACCAATGAATGAAGAATACGCTTCACTTCCTCAAGGCAATGCAAAGGTCAGTTGACTCTCCGCGGCTAAAACTCTCTCGCATTCCATATCTTTTCCTTCCCTTTTTCTTTCACACTGAAAGCAAGATGGGGAACGGATCGTCTACACGTGATTTTCGATGGAAACGGGAGAAAGAAATGGACAATATAAATACGCAGTTAAACAAGTATATTCCATGCTGCCGTGCGTCTGTTCAGTAATTGATCATAGATGACGTAAAAAATGTGGAAAGAACAAAAAAAGTGGCACCCGAACCGTTAGGCGAGTGTGTCACTGATGTTCTTACCACATTTTTTGACGTCTTCTGCATGCCAGTGACACATTCGCCTAACGGCTCGTGTGCCACTTTTTTGTTCTTACCACATTTTAGCGTCATCTCTGATGAAATATATAATTAACTACCGATAAGTGAAAGGGGTGATTTTTCTTGTAGTGTGCAATCTTGTTTCGCCAGTTGAAGAAAGGGCCGAGAATGACTAAAAGCAAAATCTGAAAAATTCACGACCGTGTGATCATAAAATATTTACCCCTTGCGTGAAAACCTATCGAGAACTTTACAATTTATAATATGAAAAGACAACAATACACCAATTGTAAAGAAGCGTTGGGTAGTGCAGAAGTAAATTTTTACTTTCTCGATTTGTGGGAAAGCCTTTATCCATGATGCTTACCTTAAATTTCGGATTGTTTCTTTGATTCCCTTAATTTGAGACGCCTAAATTGTACGCACTCTGAGATCTGATACTGTCATTCTGTTGTTTTGATTTGTTCCTTCTGTCGTTTAATTACAGGAGACCAGCGAAGATTCTACCGCCAAGAAAGACAAGCGTTGGACAGACACTCTGAAAAAGAAAAAGCTATCACGCGGCAATTCCTATGACTACAGATTACGGGGAAATGTCACACCTTTGACTCACCCAGACAGCGCTAAGAACAAGCATCCAAGTATGAGAAGAAAGAATTCACAAACAATCGTCAATTTGACGAATTTGTTTGATAGAGAAGGGCGTTTCTGTGGTTACCTCACCGAGGTTAGGTACAATAAGTTTGGTACAACGCATTTAAGACGGTGGTGTGTTGTTAAGAACGGATTATTAATCCTCTTCAACAGCGAAAGAGAAGACACGCCTCAAGTAAAGCTGTCGCTAGTGGATATGTGGCTTACGGACAAGAGCGAAGAGTCTCGAAACAAGTTTTGCTTTGCGCTCGAGGACAAGGATGGTAACGAGACGACCTTTCAGACGACAGTCGAAGAAGATTTCCAGAAATGGATGGGTGTACTTGAGTTGTTCACGGAGTTACGCGTGGAGAGACCGCAGCCTGAAGTAGCGGCAGAGCCCCTCGGAAAAACGGATTCTTGTGCCAGCGATTTGGGAGACGGATCGTTTGAGCGGGGGACTTTACGAACAAAGAGTTCCCGCGCGGCCGCAAAAATAAAGGACGAAATTTACGCCCTGGCTCCCGGGAAGGTGAGAACGTCGCTAAGAATGAAGCTATCTCAGAGAAGGAATGTGATTGATTTTTTCCGGAAAACACACAGCTCGTATGACTTAGAGGCTGGGGCGCCTCCTGAGGGTTCATCCCTCCCGGAAGCTGATGTCGACACCTTGGCTGTTTTCGGCGGCAATTTGACACAAGTAGAATCAAACGGGTCGACGAATTCAAGATGGTGTACGATCAAACAGAAAGAACTGATGATTTTCTCAGACCGTAAAGCTTCTGATCCACTTCGCAAAATACCTCTGTTAAGATCAGCATTCGGTGATTTGAGCGACGATGAAAGCAGCCCGAACAGGTTTCAGATTCGTTTTTGCAACGAGACCCTTGTGTTCGAGGCATGCGATAAATTTGATCACAACCGATGGCTCCGAATGCTGGCCTCGGCGATCGAGAGACGAAACTCGAGCGACGACGACAGGCCGAAGTGCGTCGGTCGGCTAACTTCGCCAACGTTTACGAAAAAGAAGATACTACATCGGAGGAATCGGAGCGAGGCGTTGTCACAAGAAGAGGAGACGCCTACATCAGCGACCAAGACACGTGAAGGTTCTACAAGTACTACTGATAGGCTCATGAGCGGGTATCTTCAGGAGGTCCGTGAAACCCACGGCGCTAGAACTCTTTTGCGCCGGTGGTGTGTAGCGACGAGCGAGGAGTTCATCGTGTATGAGAATCAAAACTCCAAGAAAGCGTCGTTTGAGTGGGAACTCTCACAAATGTCCGTTCAAGATCAGAGTGACATGGATGCGGGGTCGTTTGGGTTTCGTGTCTCTCTTGGCGCGGAAAAGCTGTGTTTTAAAGTTATTGACGAAGACTCCGCGCGACACTGGTTGAGCGTGTTAGCACGCTATTGCCATTCAGTTGCGGCGAATGAACCGCTAAGGTCGAATAGCAAAGAGGACAAAAGGCGCTCTGCGAGCGATAACGATCTGAAATCGAAATCGACCGAAGAGGACCCGAACGTTCTCGAAGTGCTTAGCGAAGGAAGGGCGAGCGGACGAAAGCTCATGCGAAGGGCAACCGAAGATTCGACTTTCTTCCGAAAGTTCAATCGTTCCGAGTTGTTCAAGGCGCCGTGGCGAGCGTCTACAGAGAAGCTAGAGGTAAAGATGAGGGATCGGGAACGATCAGGCCGAGCGGCGGCTAATAAGGCCTTGAAAAGGTTCTCTTGCGGCAGTCTATTCGACAGCGACGGAAAGTACACCGGTCATCTGATGGAGCTTATAACCCACGAGTTGTACAGTAGTCAAGTGCGAAGATGGTGTGTCCAGAAAGATGATTATTTATACGTTTACGAGAACGAGGCCGCTGATGAACCCATTAAAGTTATTCCTCTCTGTAACGCCAAAGTACTGGATACCAGTGACGTCGAAGGCTGTGTTTACAGATTCAGAGTCGATTATGGCGAGGGGAAGACTGTGTTTTTTCGAGCACTAACTCGCACCGATTTGGAAAAGTGGACGACTGTCATCTCAGTGAAGACCGCTGTTCTGCTGGACCGGAGCGAGAGACAGCTCAGACGCAGCCGCACGTTTAGTTCAGAGAAAAGCTCCAGTGAAAGCGAGGTAACCTCACCGATCATCGATTACAGAGCCGCCCGAACTCTGACTGCCGACTCTGGCTCTTATAATGAAACGGTTTCCATCTGGTCTGCTGATAGTGTCTTTGACCCAGCAAATGATCCCAGCTCAGAAGGTTTAAAACCTGTTAATCCAGATTACGAAAACGTTACATCTCCTGTAGAACGAAAAGATGAACAGCCACCGAATGACCAACGCAACGATTTGCCTTCAGCCGAAAGTACAGTTTCGGAAGCTGAGTTTTCTGGTAGCAACCGTAAAACTGGCAGTAGTCTTTCGAGTATCGAAGACTTGAGTCACGTTTACGAGAATTTCTTGGCCTTCGCTTCCGCGATGGCTGAAAGAAGTCCCGAATTCCAGGAACAGCTTTATCACGTCTACGAGAATGTTACACAAGCGCTGGATAGAGGAAATCAGGGAAGCACGCAAAACGAAGGACAAATTACAGAAGAGCTCCCTGAAGAGGTCCGGCAAGGAAGTAACGAGGGAAATGAACTGGGGAGCCCTTCGATGGAAATGTCATCAGAGTTCGAAAAGATCAGTTTACGGGAAAATGACGAGAAAGACTCTTCGAACGCGTACAGATACTCAGGAATCTCTGGCGAATCCGAGCTGGAGAAAGTTGTGGAGGATGCCAACGAAAATGAGCACCATGTTCTGGATGCCGCGGCTGAAGACGAGAAGAGTGCACAGACTGAAGCTAATCAATCAGACGTGATGGTGAGGGGTGGTTCTGCGTGTGAGACTACGAGCGCAGCTGTTGTAAGTGCGTCTAGAGGAGCTGAGGAGTTGGTGGAAGTTCCAGTTAGCAGTGGCAGCGAAGACCTGGTGCCGAACGAGGATGTTGTCAACGAAAACGAGCAGGAAACAGTCGCGAACAGGAACGACAACGAGATTGAAGAGATTCGTGATTTTGAGAAAGACACGGGATGCATCAGTGTTGAGGATTCCATCAACATCAGTGATGGACTGTACGAGTTGCAATCAGAAACTGGTGAAAACATGAATGAAGTGGCAACAAGTCAGTCGTCCCTACAAGATGAAAGCGTTCAAGAAGATTCTTCCAGCCGTCCTTTGGTTCATGTCGACCATATAAGTGCTGTTGAAATGGGAGATAGCTCGCTTTATCTGGTGGAACAAGTAAACGACCAAGTGGGGCGAGAAATCAAGGGTGAGGAGTTTAGCGGGCCTTTTGTTCAGACAAGCGATGTGTTAGATGCTGTTCGAGTTTCGACGCCGTGTGACAGCAATAGTTCTGAAACCCTTTTGGAACGGGGTTGTCTTGCTTCGACTGTTGAAAAGTCTGCTTCAAACGGGGACGATGAAAGCAGAACCTCGAATCTTGAAGTCCAAGATTCTAACAATGCTCTTGAATTTACTGGAAATGATTTCAACGTTGAAAACGACGATGAAAGCTTGAACAAGCCCGAGGTCTCTGAAGCTGAGCCACCGAGTTTGAGTGCAGCGGAAGACGACGAGTATCAGAAAGAACTTCAAGATGGCGAGCGTGGCACTGAAGGAGGGAAAACATGGAACAGTGCAGATACAATCCTTGAAGCGTCCGAGAATGTTTGTGCAGCTAAAACTTTCGAGCCATCTTTACCAGTTACGTTGAAATGCCCCAAAGAAGCCGAGGTTCCCTGTGAACAAACTCTTGCGTCGGAAGTTAACTTATCTGAGCACGCGCAGATTTGGGAAGAAGCTGTGACGCGCGTAGATGAAAGTCCTTCCTCGACAACGCAAGACTTCGAATTAGAAAGTCACGCCCTGCCAGAATCACCGAACAGTGATCTTGAAAGTGGAGACTTCACCTCCGCACAAGGCAGCCCAGAGGTTGAGTCTTACGAAGTGGGTAATGATTCAAAGCAAGAATACAACGCCATTAACAATGTCGACCAGTCTCTTTCATCTAGTCTGCCTGGCCAGACCAATCGAGAAGATTTCAGTCCAGAAACCGGGATAGACTCTGCCAGTGCTATTGAGATTTATTCAGAAACGGTCGCGAACTTTCCAGAGGAACGTTATGCAAAATCCAACCAACTTGAACAAAAACCTTCCACTGGGTTCGAATTTTCTAATGAGCATGCTGAGAAATTCCAAGCTACGGGCGTACGTGCTGACGATTGCCTGGGCAATGAACCTGTAGAAGATAATTCATCGCTTCAACAAGATATTGAAGAAGCCGAGGATACTCTGGACGAGGGCATCGAGTTAGAAAAAAGGTGCTCTTCAAGTGAGGGATACTATACTCCTGAAGATACTATAGAACTGTTAGTTAGAAGAGATAGTATTGCAGAAGAACAAACCGAGACAGATTGTGCGAGTGATAGAACTCAAAACAGCAATCCTGAACTTGGTTGTACAAGCAATGAAACAAAACCAAGTGATCCCAAAAGTGTTTTTCAGTCGGAAAAAGATGTAGCGACGTCATGTTTACAACAAGGCAATCATGAGCTTGTTAGAGAACTAGAAACTGATAGTACGAACTCACAAAGCCAGCCCCCTAGCGCCTGGAGTAACCATGATTCAAGCTTAGGAGTCACACAGGATCTGACAAGAAGCCAAATGGATATCCTGAAGGCTGTGACGGCAGCTTTCGAGGAGATTCTGGAACTTCACGGCGACGATAGTGACACAGACGACACCAGACTGTGATGGAGGCTAGAAAACATTTAGTCCAAGAATTTATCAACAGTTTAAGTAAGCAAACTGCTTCTTCGTACGCTCAATGTTTCCTCAAGAGAAGTCTAAGATTCGAGCCTAGAAATTCCATTCTGTTGACAAAGATGTACGGCATCAGCGCAGGTTCTCTGATTGGCTGTCTTTTGCGCGGGAAAATTCAGAAATAGCCAATCAGAGGCTTTGTAAAATTACGTTATTAACACGGAATTTTTCGAGTCTAAAAACTTGGTTAAGATTTCTGCGCGCGAAGAGTGACTTCTGTTTACTGAGGCCTAAGCAACTTTCCTCATTTTCAAGGCACCAGGATAGCCGAAGGTCGATATATCAAAATTCTAACATGGCATCGGGGTTTTCTGCCAAAATTCAATATTTGATCTTGTTTTATTTGTATCAAGTCTCTCGTGAGAATTGCCAGCGAGAGGAATCTTAGAGAATTTGCTAGTTGAGGCAAAGAGCCTCGGATTCATGTTAGAATTTTGATATATCGAACATGGACTATTGTTGACTATCGCCTAGAATGATTGAATGCACTGGTGAATCATTCCAGCATACAAACAGTTCAGCAAGTTTACTCAAATTCAAAACACAGCGTGGATGGTGTTAAGGCAAGGCTAAACGGCTACGTCGCGAAAACACCGTAGATACAATCATTTCCACTAGCTTACACTGCTCCAAAGCCGAAAATATGAGGCAAAAAATATTTCTGAAGCATTTCAAACCCTTTTTACTTCGTGATCATTTGTTTCAGCAACATTGTTTCCTAGAAATGACTTGTTCCCTAGCAACCCCACTGCTTGAAATTTGTGGGCTCAGTTTTTAAGAAAACTTTGTTCCAATAATATATTCCTATAAGAAATCGATTTTCATATTTCGTTACAACTCGCAGTGTTTCCGAACTAGAAGGAATTTTGGCCACAGGATTGTTGCACCGTGGGCAGGAACATTACTTACTCGATCAACGTTGTTAAGTTGTTCTTTTACATTACTTTTTGGTGGAGATGGGACGGAAAATCTGCTTCAGAGTATGTTAGTTAGCTAGGCTAGATTTTTTTTAATGGCTTATCCCATCGCTCACATCCTGTTCTACAGTTGTCTGTCTTAATCCCAAACCTGTTGATGAAAAAAAACGCTTCAAATAACAATATTCTACGTTGTACTTTGAAATTTCAAATTATTACGAGTTCTTAAACTGTAGGGATATTAACTTTTCTGTTACTGATGAAGGCCTGCGTGACTTGGCCATGGCAAAGAAGGCGTGACTATACTGCCTGCGCCGTCAAATGTTTGCGCTTTCGTTGACTATGCAATCAGAATTGCATCAGCTAAGAGATAAATTTTACTATTAAGCATAATGTTATAACAGGTATTCACAGCAATTAACATTAAGAAAGTAAATAGTCATTACTGTAGGATATGTTCAAATCAAAATATCACGCGACGTAAATATGTCACGCAATCAATTTTTCTCGCTTTGAAAATGATTAATATAATGATAAATAGATTAACGTTCTGTTAAAATCAAAACTTATTGAAATATTGTCTAATTCATGCCATTTCATCGGTTCAAACGTTCAATGATGTGAAAGAAATTTTTTAAGAAATGTATGAATTTAATTTAAATTATAGTCTAGTTTATTTAAGTTTGAAAGAGGAAGTACAGTCTTGGAAATTTTGCAAGGATTACAAATGTACACGTGTTGTTGAAGTGTCTTGAGTGAATTGTTGATATCTACGTTCATAACAGAATTTCTCACTTTGTCGTTCACCCTGTTTCAAATTATACATTTTGAGTAAACGCTCAGTTTACCAATGCAGGCGTCCTCAAGCTTTTTGTTCGGTGTTTGCTGGAGAGTTTGAGGTAATTGTGGCTTCTGTAATATATGCTGTACAGTTGAAGTAATATTCCAAATCATTTCATAGGAACCAAGGTGTCTGTTATAGACAATAAAAGAGAAGGAAAGTGATTATTGTACGTAATTCTTTAATTTAAGTTAAAGTTGTTTTCTAACTTAATTACGGACCTTGAACTCGGTTAGTAATAACTACTAGCTAACCGAGAATGAGGTTTTTACGGGAAAATGTCAAACCGAGACCTCGCAGTATTGACCGAGCGATAGCGAGGTCATTACGGCAAGGCTAGTTCTTAAATTACGAGTTCTAGAGGTTATGCATTTAAAAAGTTACTTGGGATGTGTCTAACTCTTTACCAAGGAGGGCTTTGTGGTTCTGGTATCGTTAGGGATCATTCTTGGGTCTGAAATAAGGAAGTGCTTTCGTGACAACTAAATGAACCGTGACAGGTGCCACAAAAGTCTTATCACGTGCTTGTTCCTCTTTGTACACGCATTCAATGTGTACCCTGCCAGGAACTACGAAATGAGACTGGTTAACTTCGCGTTATATCGACAAGTACCGGAATACCTTCCCGTTGATCTATAGAGAAGTCCGCAGAAAAGTTGAATACAGTTGAGACTAGACCAGTCTACTGCTCTTTAACATTGTACGGCGTGTAAGTACACAGACTGTACGCTAAACCAACGGATTTGCGGGGGAGGCCTGGGAAGCATAACCTTTGTATTTGAGCGGGTCAGTTCAGTGAAACCTGTATTAAGCAGACCCCATATTAAGCGGAAACCAGCTTGAGTCCTTAAATTTTCTTTCCACATCTACTGTAAAATAAACCTGCATTCAGCGGACACCTCTGTTAAGAGGACGCGGACACCAATATCAAGCCATTTTGTTGGGCAAAACCTGCAATAAGCGGACACTTCAAGAGCTTTTTACCACTAAAAGTTCAGCTGGACTCCTTTAACATTGTTGAACGATGTCGTCTTAAAGCTAAGAAGATTAGTCCAGATTGATGCATTGACTGACTGGACATTGTGGTATGAGCAGTCTTTCATCTCACGCTATGTTACACTGTGTTACAAAAGTGTTAATAATTAACTATTATTGTACAAAACAGTACCCCCTGAGTCTGTATTTTATCTTTTGTCGCCACTGAAGGACTTTTACAGACAAAAAATTCTGATTTAACAGGAAAAGCTTTCAAGTTCTCCGGTTTGTGATACACGTAGATAGCGTTATTAAATTGCCACAGGTACTAAGGTCTCAAAACCAGTTCGGGAGACTGAAATGTGACTGAAATAAAAATAATAGTATGAAACTAAAAATTATACTAGGTATTTAAGACGTGAAGTTTCAACCCGGGTTGAACACAATGAACAGAGGAAAGTAGAAACCAAACTGATCTTGGAACTTTCAAACCAAAAATAAATTGAATTGGCGGATAACAACTGAGGTAATTGATCATGGCATCATTCAGTGAGTAAATAAATCACCTCTCCGTGAAATTTCAAGAATGCAATTTGTATAGGTAATCATACGGTTTCGAGTTCAATTTGGAATTAATTTGC